TATTCTATTCTATTCTATTCTATTCTATTCTATTCTATTCTATTCTATTCTATTCCATTCCATTCCATTCCATTCTATTCCGTTCGTTCCGTTCCATTCTAGACAAATTCCAAAATTATGCTAGATTGGTGTTGGAATCTGCTCCTTCCTATAGAAGAGATACTCTTAAACAGAAATGGAACATAGAATAACAGAAGGTCCTTGGAGAAAGCCTTCTGGTCCCATTCTGGACAAATTGCCACCCAGTCTCAAATGTTACATTAAACATATATTAAAGCATATTAAACAGGGAAATGAATGGTATATTAAATATAGGTATATTTCTATGAATGATGGTGATCAGGCTTTAAGTGTGGATTAGGGAATCTAAAAAAGGTCGTGGGAATCTGCACTAGAACATGTGAAGAGGAGCCCCGTGTCTCTCCTCATTGCTCATTACAAAATCCAGGGCACCAACCTTTTGCTTCCCCAACCACCAGGGGGCAGTGCAGTCTAGGAAGCTCCCTTTTATAAGTGTTCTTTTTCAAGCCCTTCCAGTCCCTATTTCTGCAGCTACAGGTGGTCCTCGACTTACAACCACAATTGATGCCAAAATTATTGTGGCTCAGCAAGACAGTTGTTAAGCGGATTTTTGTCCCATTTTTACCACCTTTCGTGCCACATTTGTTAAGTGACTCGCTGCAGTGGTTGTTAGTTGTGAAGCGATGCTGGCTCCCCCACTGACTTGTCAGAAAAGCATGACCTCTGGACAGCGCAACTGTCATAAATGTGAGTCATTTGTCAAGCATCAGTGCCATTGTAACTTGGAACAGTCACTAAATGAATGGTTGTAACTTAAGGACTACCTGTCGAGGAGGTTGGATGTAGCCAACAACTGAGTCTGTGGAAAAGGTGTGGATTGTCATTGGGACAAGATAATTTACTTGTCCACACAGTAATTAGGAATCAGCCTCCAAACAACCTAATTGGTTTAGGATTTCACAGGATGCATAAACCCAGCTTATTTTTATTAAGTACTAATAAATTTTGAATTAATTAGACTTTCTCAAACTAGATCTTCTACATCTTGGCAAAAACAATGATCCCCCAGCTGTTCAGGTCTAGGAACAAATAGAATTGAATGGAATGGAATGGAATGGAAAGGAAAGGAATGGAATGGAATGGAATAGAATAACAGAGTTGGAAGGGACCTTGGAGGTCTTCTAGTCCAACCCCCTGCCTAGGCAGGAAACCCTAAACCACTTCCAATAAAGGGTTATCCAACATCTTTTTAAAAACTTCCAGTGTTGGATCATTCACAACTTCTCGAGGGAAGTTGTTTCCACTGATTAATTTTTCTAACTGTTGCTGGGCTCCGTTTCCACAATCTGGTTTTAAGAACGCCTTTGTATTTATAACCCCTCCATCGATCAGCCTCTGGAGGAGAAATTCTTTCCCCCAACTGCTTACCTCATAAAATGTCTCCCATCACTAAGTAACCTGGTTCCATCTGGCAAACATGTGCTGATTTTTCCTTCGGGGCTGAAGCACAGAAGGAGATGTCAGAAAAGTCACTGCATTTATCATAATTATAAATGAGAACACCAATTAAACAACATGGCAGACCTTTTATAATATTTCCCTGGATTCGCTGCACTTCCAGTTGCTATTGCAACCAGAAGTTTACAGATCAGAAGCCATAATGTGGGTTCATGTTAAGGCTTGGATGTAAATCTGCCTCATTGACACAAACCATGGTTCAAACAAACCATGTTTCAGTTTAGGCAAAAGGAACTATTGAAAACAAGCCTGAAGCATGAATGTGCAGAAGTAGTTTTAGAGTAGTAAAGGTAATCCTTGATGTAGGACACAGTTTTGATCATGTGACCACAGGGATGCTGCAGCAGTGGTAAGTGTGAAAAATGGTCCTAAGTCACTTTTTTCCAATGCTGTTGCATCTTTGAACGGTCACTAAATGAATGTTGTAAGTTGAATGTTGTTTTTGTTTGTCTTATAATGAACCCGGAGTTGGGGCAACTGAATGGAGCTGAGTGTTTACTGGCAGGATGCCCTTCCTGTCACCAATGCAGAGTTCACAGCTTTCTGCCCAGAGAGAGAAATATCTGCCGCTATCTATGATCAAACCTGCCTGCTTGTATCTGTAAAATCCAAGGAGAAACTTGTTGCAGTTAAATCTATTAATCTATAGATGTAAAATGCCTACCTGGGGTGCTGCCAAGCAGGCTATTTCAAACGATATATGTTGGAGATAAATGCCCACCACAAATCTTGAGAGAACAGATGGTTCCCTGCCAGATATTCTCTTTAGGTGATGCACTTCCTGTTTCTTCTTTTTAATTATGCATTAAGTGGCCGTGCTAATGCTAGCAGATGTTCAATGACTGAAATCTCTATCAGTTTCCCAGAAGGAATACAAGGTTACCACTGGTTCACCCACCGGATAAGAGACCTCCTTAATAAGTGGCCGGGCTTTAACACTGCAAAATTGAGCTCTAAATAGCGGCTGTGCTAGACTGTCAGCATTTAACAACTGATTCATGACAATTTGGGAGCTGTAGTGAGCTGGAAAAAGGAGAATCTTTTGCTTCTGAAAATGAAAGTGAGAGCCAAAATCTGACAGCGTTGGGACAAATTTACCTTTAAGGTAAATACAGTGGTCCTCAGTTTACAACCATTCATTCAGTGACTATTCAAAGTTACGAAGACATTGGAAAAAGGGACTGATGACTGGGTCCTCACAGCTATGACCGTTGTACTACGATCACATGATCAAAATTCAGGTGCTTGGCAACTGGCATGAAATTAAATGGTTGCAGATTCCTAGGGTCACACAATCACCATTTATTTATTTATTTGTTTGCTTATTGACTTAGTTATTCAGTTGTTTGTTATAGAATTGATTGGTCATCCATCTTACCATAAGGAAAGGCTGGGTGATTTTATGTATGTATGTACATTAAAACTTGAATAAATGAAAACCAAGGGCTCATGGGGAGGACACGAGTGGAATGGGCAGGGAGGTGGGATCTGTCATTACTCAATCAACCACCTCCCGTGTACTGTTCCCCATCGGGGGCCCAGGTTCTTAAGCTCTTACAAAAGGATAGGAGGAGGGTTGCCACCTTCTCAGCCAGCTTCTGACGAGCCGAGTCAATTCCACAATCGAGACCACAATTTCTATCGTTAAGCAAGATGGTTGTTAAGTAAGTTGCACCCGATTTTACGGACTTTTTTTGCCCTAAATCTGACACCAAAAATCTTGGAAAAGACAAAGGGATGAATTCATCCCCACTTTCCCCCAAAAAACTCATGATTAAGGATGTTCCAGAACCACAGAATGCTGGTATACTGTAGCTGGAGAGGAAAATGGATAGACAGATAGGAATCAATTGTTCTGTTTAGTCTCATAGCTCCAGTCAGAATCTGACTTACTAGAGTTCCAGACGGAACATTTTTTGCAAAGGTATTTTTTTTAAAAAGATATAGGTTTTACTTTACCATAAGTCCCACTTCTTAAATCGAATAATGTTGATGTTGTATTTAGTAATAGTCAAGTTTACCATGAAGAGCAAATGTTTTAAAGTTACACCAAACCTGGAATTAAATTCCTTCTGTTGCTGTTGCTTTAAGCAGTGTTTAATGATTGCCTTTTCGTATCAAGTCTTTGAACAATATATATTTATTTGTATGGTTTAAGTATATAGTCTACAGCTGCCAGTATAACTTTGTAGATGTTTACTCACCTATATGTCTCAGCAGAGATGTTGCCGTTAACTTTTACACAGTAATGGAACGTGATCTATAAAAGCAGAGTGGCAAAAAATAAGAAATATAGAAAGTAACCATAATAGGTTACAGTCTTTATATTGGTACCACTTTGTATAGATAGTCCTCGGTTTACAACCACAATTGGGACCAGAATTTCCATTGCTTAAACCAGGGATCCAAAATTACAATCTTTTTTGTCTGGATTCTTAAGCAAATCACTGAAGTTGTTAAGTGAAGCATATGGTCATTAAATGAATCCAGCTTCCCTTGTTGATGTTGGTTGTCGAAAGCCTGCCGGGAAATGGCGATCAGATGACCCCAGGCTATTGCAATCCTCATAAATACATTCCGCCCAAATTTTCATTCTGTGACTATGGGGAAGCTGCGATGGTCATAAGTGTGAGGACTGGCCCCAAATAGCCTTTTTCAGACAGTTGCCAAATGTATGGTTGTAAGCCCAAGGACTACTTGTATTGCACAGTGACTGTTTTATTATTTAGGATTTATTATTTAAATTATTTATTATTATTATTATTGAATTTATTATTTAGGATTTCAGGCAGAAAACACCAAGCACACCTGGAGACAGCAGGGCCTGAACTCTGCACATTAACTGTTCAGCTGTTACCTCAAATGACAAGGGTCTGTATAGAAAGGATTCTCACCCAGGAAAGGCAGTTTTATATCCCAAAATGCACCCTCAGATCCAAGTTATATTCTGAAAATTTTAGCAAAACTATGGCTTAATGTGACATGAAGCAAACTAGCATATATGTTGCATCAAATCCCACAGCCGATTTCTGTCATGATCACTAGATTTTGATAAGATTTTCCCCCTTCATTAAATAAAATTATTTAAAAATAGCTGAGGCAAGTTGAGGCTGGATCTGGTAACCAGGTTGCTTCAGAGATCAAGATAGAGAGAATTTTCTCTTCCTACGTAGGCAGTTTCTTAAAACTCATTGCGGATTTTAAGTTGGAAGGTAGTCATTTAGTCCTGAGGAAACCTAAACTTAATATTTAGCAAATCATAGTGCATGCCAGGGAATCTCTTACTGTTGTGTGCACGAGGCTGATCCTATGGACGAACTGTTTCAATGCGATGCTGTCTTCCTTCAGGACTTCAGATTTCTCATACAACTGAAAAGCCCAAAGAGAGACGGAGAAAGTTAACGTGTCCTTTTCAAAACCTTTAATTGAAGTTTTATTGCGCCCCTTCAGTCGTTAAACTTTTCAATTGGCTTTTCACTCATCCCTCTAGTGGCATGGCCACTAAATCCAAAGCTTTAACCCGAACCCCAAAGGTAAAAAGAAAAACAGCCCACTCTAGTTTCAAACACAATGCTGTTCAGTCAAGTTTGTGAAACTGATGCTAAACCAGGGGTGTCCAACCTTGGCAACTTTAAGACTTGTGGACTTCAACTCCCAGAATTCCTCAGCCAGCTTTCTGGGAGTTGAAGTCCACAAGTCTTAAAGTTGCCAAGGTTGGACACCCCTGTGCTAAGCCTTCAGATTCATTCAGCTGCATTTGAACAGTTTTGGGAAAAACAAGCCTCTGTTTATATATATTATAAATATCACACTAAAGGTGGCTAAGGCAACTAAGGCAACTAATTTTATTCAGAATTTCTATCCCTAGTCCTCAGATCGTAGGATAAGCAGGAATCTAGGGCACTGCCTCTATTACAATATTGTATTTCCAGTTGTGCTAGAAACATTACTGCATTCTACCTCTTGTTCTGACTGTGTTTGACAAACTATTTTCCCCCAGTAGCTTTCTGTGAACTTTAGAGATGGTTTGCCTTTCTTTGTGCATACAAGATGAAGGACAACCACCCCCAAAAACAGAGACATCAGCTTTTATAATTAATCACCTTTTTTCTTGAGAGGGTCAAGGGTCAACTCCTGATCCCTGAACCCTTTCTCTCTCTGGAAATGTAACTTTCAAGAGATCTCCCACCAAGAAATTCCAAGATTTAGAGTTTTATAATCCTCTTTGATGGTTTCCCCAGCACCACCATCATAGCTGCAGCTATGACAACTGCTATTGTAAAACAGGTAGTCCTTGATTTACAATCATTCATTTAGCAACTGTGTAAAGTTAGTGATTTGCTTAACAAGTGGGCAAAAAAAAAACTGAGCACGATTCACTGAACAACCGTCTGGCTTAGCAAGTCTGTTCCCAATTGTTGTAAGTTGAGGGCTACCTAAAGTAATGACCCTAGACGGTTATGCTAAATGCAGATATTGGTTTAGCTTTACCTTGTTACAGCATTAACAAAGTCAAATGTAGATTTGTGATTGATTGATTTATTTTGCAATCTCCCTATTCACAACCCAGATTTCATCAGGGTTGAAAATGATGTCTGCAACCATTTTGGAACAGATTCCAGTTCTGTAGTTTGAGAACAACTGTTCTACTCCACCATTCTTCTGAAACGAAATCAGGAGCCCCCAGAAAAAAACAGCTGCATTTGTTGTTTATCTCCAGTGCCCGTGAAAACTGGCACTGGGAAAGCCATGAAGATTCTGATTCTAGAACATCTTCCTCAGATGTTTGGAGGATGCTGAGAACAGATCGTGGAGGCAAAGAGAACAGATGTTAACCGTATTATTTTCTGGATCAAGCCCAACATGGCATTATGTATGTAACTTGACTTTAAAAAAAAAATCAGTGATGGGGAAGAGGGCTGAGAATTATCAGGATCAGAGCAAACTAAGAGCCTTTATTTACGGGCTGTGGAGTTATTATCTGCTTCTACCGGGGTTCATATATTTGGACAAATTCTAAGATTTAGCACCAATATTGATTTTCAATCTTCCGCAGAACAGGTTTATTGCTCAGCAAACCATTCCAGCAATGTAGAATCAGAGACATTTCTTTGAGGAGGAAGTGTGTGTTGAAAAGAAGAAACAAATTATTAAAGAATAATAAAATGATAGAGTTGGAAAGGACCTTGGAGGTTTTCTAGTCTATATCATTCCGGACAAATAAAATGTCTTCTTAAAAACCTCCAATGATGGAGCAACCACAACTTCTGAATGCAAGCTATTCCACTAATAATTTTTTCCTTTTCTTTTCCCCTCTTCTTCCCCCACTTCCTCCTCCTCCTCCTCCTCCTCCTCTTCTTCTCCTCCTTCTCCTTCTTCCCTTTTCTTGTTCTTCCTCCTCCTTCTCCTCCTTCTGTGGAGGAGAACTTTAAAACTTTGCTAGAATGAAGCCACCTTCTTGGCTTTGTCGTTGGTCACTTATTGTTCTGTCAGGAAATTTCTTCCTATTTCTAGGTTGGTTCTTTCTTTGATTGGTTTCTACCTATTTCCTCTTGTTCTCCCTTCAGGTGCCGTGGAGAATAGGTTGATCCCCTCTTTTTTGTGGCAGCCCCTCAAATATTGGAACATTGCTTTCATGTCGCCCCTGATCCAAGAACACCTGTCCATTGGTTCCTTTAGCAGTTGAAGGAGATAAACATGTCTAGCCTATCGAAGAGAAGGACTAGAGGAGACATGAGAGCTGTCTCCCTGAACTTGTGGGGCTGTCACAAAGAAGAGGGGATTGACTTGTTGTTCTCTAGGGCATCAGAGGGCAGGACAAGAAGTAATGGATGGAAGCTTGTTAAAGAGAGACCCAACCTTGAAGTAAGGATATTTTTTTCTGACAAATGAGAAAAATTAATCAATGGAATAACTTGTTTCCTGAAGTTGTGGGTGCTCCATCACTGAAGGTTTCCAAGAAGAGAAGGGACAAGCATTTTTTTTGACTAGGATGGTATACAGCTCTCTGCCTTGAGAAGGGAAGACTAGAAGACCTCCGTGGTCCTTTCCAGCCCTATCATTCTAATGATGCTCATTGTGGTGTAGGCTAACCTGAAAGGAAAGCTGAAAAGGCATAGTAGGTAGAGATTCATGAGAACATCCACTTCCATGCAGGACACCTCTCTGGCAGAAAGGCAGTACACTTTCTATTTCTGTGGAAGGAAAAAAAATCACTGCTAGGAGACAAACTCTGTAAGACAAACAAGGAATTTTTGCTCTCCAAACAACAGGCATGAATATTTAAGATTCCCTTCTATCAGTTGATACAAGAAAGCAAGCTGCAGCAAGGAGGGTTATATGAGCCTTTTAATATACAAGCAGTCCTCGACTTACTATTATTTGTTTAGTGAGCGTTTGATGTTACAATGGCACCGAAACAAGTGACATATGCACTTATGACCATCACAGAATCTCCATGATGATGTGATCAAAATTTATGTGCTTTGCAACCGGCATGTATTTATTTCCCAGCAGGCTTCTGACAAACAAGATTAATGGAGGAAGCTAGATTCGCTTAAGGACCATAAGATTCACTTTAAAACTGCAGTGATTTGCTTAACAACATGGCAGTAAAGGCCATAAAATCAGGTACAATTCATGTTACCAACCATCCTGCTTAGCAAAGCACTTTTAAAATCTCAAATAATATTAATTATTTGAGCCAATTATGGTTATAAGTCAAGGACTACCTGTAGAGAGACACACGCAAACATACATACAAATGTTTGCTTAAAGTTATTAGCTACCCAACTACAAAAACGTTAATCAAAAGGTACCATATTGATTAGCCAAGAGATAATGTTGCATTTTCAAATTCAAATTTTGAACAATTTGTTGAGGAATAGTTATGAAATGGTTGTATGAATAAATCAGAAGGAAACCAGGAGCGCCTTTTCTGACTAACAAATTTCATTAAAAGGCATAAGCTTTCATGAAGTGAGCTGCAACTCATAAAAGCTTCGGGCCTTTTATTAAAATTTGTTGAAAAGATCTACCAGATTCCTCATGATTTGAGGCTAACATAAACTGACCTGCCTCCCCTCCTACAATGTCTGCAGTGCAGCTTGAACATTCATATCCTTTTAGGTATCTCAGAATCCATCTATTCCTATATTGCACGGCATATTATATTGCATTGCATTGCATTGTTACACATCTCTTTTCAAAAAGTATGTAACTAAAAAATAAAGTTAATAAAGTTAAAAATTAACAAGGTCTCAATCATCTTGTTTTAAAAGATTATCGATTTATTTAACACAGCACAGCTCTTATTCCAATTTTTGAAGGCAACTTCATTATGAGGAAACAACTCAGATGCAATAGAATCTCCTCAGGATGACTCAGGAAACAATCAGAAGTTGGGTGAATTCATACTTCTATTAAAGTTATAAAAATCTTTGTTTTGTTCTGGTCAAAATGTATTTGTGATTGTAAGAACTGAAGGCTACGCTGGATTAGCTTAAAAATCATTTTTAAAATCTGAAATAAGGTTAAAGTATTTACCTCTGAATGTTAAGTCATTGAGGAGTTTGTGGCATAAATCCCCTTTTGCGGCAACTGCAAGGAACAAATCAAAGAACTGCTGTTATTTATTTTGTTTAAGTTTGTGGCAAGGCTAAATTTGAGCTGTATTATTTGTGCTCAACCCATTGTAGGAACATAAACTTACCCCTTAAGTTTACTTATTGGGGATTGCAAGATACATAAAGGCAGGCAGACCTCGATTTTATAGCAATAGCAATAGCACTTAGATTTATATACCGCTTTATAGTGCTTGACACAGCCCTCTCTAAGCGGTTTACAGAGTCTGCATATTGCCCCCAAAATTTGGGTCTTCATTTTATCCATCTTGGAAGGATGGAAGGCTGAGTCAACCTTGAGCCTGGTGGGATTCGATCTGCCAAATTGCAGTAGGAGTGGCTTGTATTACTGCACTCTAACCACTGCGCCACCATGGCTCTTATGAACACAACTGAGCCCCAAATTTCTACTGCTAAGCGAGGCAGTGATTAAGTGAGTTGTGTCTCATTTTATAATCTTTTTTTCCCACGGTTGTTAAGCAAATTATTACAGTCGTTAAATAAATCTCGCTGTCATTAAGCAAATCTAACTCCCACTCCTCCACATACACTATTGACTTTGTTTTTTGGAAGTTGGCTGGGACGGTTACAAATGGTGATCACGTGACCTTGGGACAGGGCAATTGCCATAAATACATGCCAGTTGCCAAGTGCCTGAATTCTGAACACGTAACCATGGGGATGCTGCAACAGTCGTAAGTGTGAAAAATGGTCATAACATAAGACACTTTGCTCAGTGCTTTTGAAACTTAAAATGGTCACTAAACTTTGATTGTTAAGTCAAGGACTACCTGTAAATTTAAAATGCCACCTGAAAGGAGGAGGGTCATTCTTAGTTGCTTTGCCTAGCTTCTGTATACTGAGAGCATTTGCACCAAGACAAATTCCTTGTGTGTCCAACCACACTTGGCCAATAAAAAATGCTATTCTCTTCTCTTCTATTTTCTTAAAAAATAACCATTCTGAAAGAAATATAAATCTGAATCATACGCACTAATTGCAGCACAGTACGACTGGTTCACACGCTGGGGAGAATCTTGAATGTTCAAAGAAATCACAATTGTTCCTTCGAGCATGGAAGATCTTTCTGACTGTTCACCCTGAAGTTGTATGATTAGAAATTCTAAAACCTGAAAGGAAAGAAAGGACTTGGTAAATTAGCAGGCAAAATTTATGAACAACATATTCTGGCTTGAGAAACAACAGTGTTCTTTATGTCTTCACTAGCTCGATACCTGTGCTTCGCTATGAAACTGTGTGGTTGGGCTTAGTTTTTGGGGAGGAAAGTAAGGGGGGAAAATTCTGCCTCTGCCTACCAGCATCCATCGATATTCATCTGGCTAGCGTCCTGTCAATGTGTGAGAGAGTTGAGAGCTGTTTGGAAACTGAAAGAGTATTTGCTATGTGAGCAAGAAGGGGACAGCAAGGAGCCTGGGCGTGGCTTAGCTCAACTGTTCTGTCCTAAAGCTGCCTGGGGCTGTGAAACTGGAACTGAAACTGGAACTCCACTCCTCTGTTGTGTTTTGCATTTGGAAGAGATTTCTTTTCAGGAGGGGAGGGGGAGTAGAACTCCTTAGCATCAGAGTGTTTGAATAATAATAATAACATAGGAAATACTAATGCTCTGATGGTCATTTTGAAAAATCCTTTCTTAGTGAGCACCTAGAAGCCAAGAGGAACATATGGGCCAAATTTCAAGTTTGTACGTTTTACAGTTGTGGAGATTTTGTAATGATGCCTGAGTGATATTTTGCTTTTATATAGAGAGAAGATTTGAGCCTCAAAACTAAAACTATAACTATTGTTGAAATGGGAGGCCCGGTGGTATAAAACGGACGGGTGATGCTAGAAGTTGAACAATAAATGAAGGCATCAGTTTTGCTGGTGTTTGGTTACTCTTCCTGTAACATTTTTCAGTGTTCCAATCTTAAATCAACTCTACAATTTTGGATTTATTCAACTATTGTTTTTCCTTTTACCTTCGTGATTTCATTTTGCGTAGTATACTAGCCAACTAGCAAATTTCTAACTGATTTCCCAAATATGGCTTTGTTGTAAAAGATGAGAAAAACATTATTTGTTACTGCTTAGCTGTTTTTAAATTCAGTCTGTCTCCATCTAGCTCCTTCCTCTTACAGAATTATTACTGAGGGAGGTTTACTAGGTTGGTTTGCTTCCTTAAAACCATTGAATTATAAGATGTTCTTAATCTTATGCAGGAAAATGGAAAGTGGCAAACAAAGGAAGTAAACCCTATAGAATGTTTAATAAATAATAGGAAATAAAGAATGTTTGTGAAAAACACAAGGACAAGCACAAAGGAAGTAAAATATGAATTAAAGTCTCTCCTTGCAATCATAGCAACACTGTTTTCTGTTTCACAAAAATGTCGCTTCAGGTAGGAAATTATCATAATGCCTAAATTTACTGTCATACCATGTTTTGATTTCTTTTTAGCAGGAATGAAAGGATGTTATGGATGCCCCCTTAAATTTAATTTATTGGATAATGGAAACAAACTAGAGAAGTTTTGGGGAAGTTCAATTACCTTTTTCTTCATAGAGGTATTCCTTGACTTACAACCATTCATTTAGTGACTGTTCAAAGTTATGATGGCACTAATAAAATTGATTTATGTCTATCCTCACACTTATGACCATCACAGGGTCCCTCCATTCACATAATCAAAATTTTAGCCCAGCTTGGATTTATGATGGTTATAGCATTCCAGGATCATATGATCACCAACAGTTCATTTACTGACTGTTCAAAGTTACAACATCACTGAAAAAATTGACTTATGAACATTTTTTTTCACACCTAAAACTGTTGAAGCATCCCCATGACCATGTGATCAAAATTCAAACACTTGGCAACTGACTCACATTTATGACGGTCCTGGGAACATGTAATTACCTTTTTGTGACCTTCTGACAAGCAAAATCAATGAGTAAACCACATTCACTTTAACAACCATGTAATTAACTTAACTGTAATGATTCGTTTAACATTTGTGTCAAGAAAGATAACAGATAATCAGAGTTGGAAGGGGCCTTATACGTCACCTAGTCCAAACCCGCACCCAAGCGGGAGACCCTACCCCATTTCTGACAGATGGCAGTCCAGTCTCTTCTTGAAAGCCTCCAGGGATGAAGCTCCCACAGTTTCTGAAGGCAACTTCTGTTCCATGGGTTGATTGTTTTCCCTGTCAGAAAGTTTCTCATTTCCAGGTTGAATCTCTCCTTGTTCAGTTTCCAACCATTGTTCCTTGTCTGGCCTTCGGGGGCTTCAGAGAATAACTTGACCCCCTCCTCTCTCTGGCAGCCCCTCAAATATTGGAAGATGCTCTCCTGTCTCCCCTGGTCCTTCTCTTCACTACACTAGCCATGCCCAGTTCCTGTAACCGTTCTTCATATGTTTCAGTCTCCAGTCCCCTAATCATCCTGGTTGCTCTTCTCTGTGCTTTTTCTAGAATCTCAACATCTTTTTTATAATGTGGTGTATAAGGTTGTAAAATGGGGCAAAACTCACTTAACAAATACCTCGCTTAGCAACATAAAGATGCAGCTGTACAGCTGGTCTGGAATCCATATCCTCAATACCTCTTATTATTCCTGATTATTATTATTATTTATAATGGTTAACACTGATAAGGGGTGTAGCTCCAGAGTAGGAAGAGATTTTGGTCTCCAATCTTTGTTATGATTAATATCAATACCTTTTACCCTGACTTTATCTGTGGAGCTTTCTTAAATTAAGTTAGGATATTGACCTACTAATTCTAGTACTGTATTTGTATGGCTGTGATTCTTGGCTACTGGAAAATTTATGGTAGTTTATTTTTAAGCAAAAGGAAACAAGGATCTCAAACTTTCCTGTAAGCTACAAGTTTCTTCCTTGTCTTATTAAATAAAATCCTGGTTGTTTTGTTCCTTAGGAGGGAAGAATGGGTCTTGTGACATTCTGTGAAGGCATCCCCAGACTGTTTCTATTTTCAGAACTTTTAAGATGAATAAAGAGGTCAAAATCTGGGATAGGCTGTTCCACTATTAAAATAAGACGTACGGCACCAAGAATTCTATCTTTACATTATCCAGATGTTTTGAAAGATGTGGAACTGGTTTGGGTGCACACACAAAAATAAACACTTTAGTTCCAGACTGCCTGACATGACCAAAGGATAGCTAGCTACAGCTTGCAAATTGTGTGTCTGGTTTCCCAACATCTAAACAGAAGAAATAGTCTGCAACCCAGGAGTTATTATCTTCTGTTTGCCTTTGATCATATAATTAATCAAGAGAAGTAATGTTATTCTTAATTTGCTTATGCTGGCCATCTGCTTTCTAAAGGAAGAGAAGAATCCACCTCTAGCAAAAATACTTTCAGTATGTCAGAATTGGTTACTGAAGCTGAAGACCACTGGGGCTGCTTCATAATATTATTGTTATTGTTGTTGTTTGTTTGTTGTTGTTGTTGTTATTATTATTATTATTATTATTATTACCGGCCCATCATACTGTACCAATCACTCCAGAGTGAATTGAAAACACAAGGGCATCCAGCTCATTTGGTCTAATAAGGCACCAGGCTAGAAAGCAAGAGACAGTGAGTTCAAGTTCGGGCATAGCTATGAAAGCCAGCTGGGTTACTTTGGACAATCATCCTCTCTCTCAGGCCAACCCACCTTACAGCATTGTTGTTGTGGGGTAAATAAAAGGAAGAAGGTGTGTTGGATGTGTTCTCCACCTTGAGTTATTTGTGAATACAATAAAGGCAGGAACAAATTATATGCACACTAATTTATATTACTAATTAGTACTAGTCCTTGGTTTATAACCACATTTGGGGCAGGAATGTTCATTGCTAGAGGATAAGGTTGTTACGTGAGTTATCATGTGACCATACTGTCAGCGTTTCAAAGATTACCCTGAATTACTAAAGAATTTATTTTGTCTACTGAAAGCTACTCAAATAGTATCAGCCCCCTCCATTTCTCCGCAGCTATGTGGCAGCTTTTGATAACAATTCCAAAGCTGACACGTACCTGATTTAACCACCTTTTTCGCTGCAGTGGTTAAATGAATCCAAAGGTACTTTTTCAAGAGGCAACTGGACTTTTTTCTTATTCTTTGAAGATGCTTTGCTTCTCAAACAAGAAGCTTCTTCAGCTCTGACTAGAATCTAGATGGAGGGGAATGGAATTCCTTGCAGACAGTTGGAGGTATATCTGTGTCCACTTGGAGGTTTGTCTCTGTCCCCAGGGTCACCTGGGTAGTGCAATTGGGTGTTGAGCCTTCTTGGAACTGCTGAAACTACTCAGGTGACCACGAGGACACAGATAAACCTCCAAGTGATCTCAGTGACCCTCTAAAAGAATGCAAACGACCAGCTGTCTGCAAGGAATATAAATCCTTCTATTCTCCACCATTCAGTCAGATTGGAGAAAGCTTCTTGGATGCGAAATGAAACGTCTTCAAAAAAGATCCCAGAAAGTCCAGTTGCCTCTTGAAAAAGCACCTTTGGGACAACCACAACCTGGATGATTGAGAATCTCCATATATTAAATGAATCCAGCTTTCCCCACTGACTTTGCTTGTTGGAAGCTGTCTGGGAAGGTTGCAACAATTGTAAATACCTACCAGTTGCCAAGTGCCCAAGTCACAATTATATGACTGTAGATACAATACGATAGCCGTAAGTTCAAGAACCAGTCTTAAGTCCTTTTTTTCAGCACTGCTGTAACCTCAAACAGTCACTAAGCAAATAGTCAGAAGCTGAGGACTGTTAACAAGCCAGCTGCAAAACAAATCTTATCACATCATACATTGATATAAACTTTGCTATAAAAACATACACAAGCAGACTTTGTAACTAAGAAGGGGAAATAATAATAAATAATAAGAAAATACAATAAAATTGTTCATTAAAATTTATGGGGCCCAAGAGGCAAATTATATGTTTGCTTAATGTGATAGCTTGCAAATACACTGTCTGTGTTTCCACGATATTCTGAACCACAAAGTATGCATCCTTATTATCCTTGCTGAATCCAGCCAATATGTACTCGTGAAATTACACTGTGGCCAATGATTCTTTTGTAAAAATCTAGACTGGATCCAGCACCAAACCGGACCGCACATTTGCCAGCATGCGTTTTAAATCAGTAGGAGTGATATTGGATTGTAATCCATTTGGATTATTTATAGAATACCTGCCAAGGTGTTAGGGGTTTTTGAGGATAAACTTGGGGAAGCATTGGCCTACTTCAAATGCTACCACAGAGATACCTGGCTCAATAACTAGGTTAGTTGGCTGAAATTCAAACAAAAAGTTCAACTTCAAATATAGCACAAACTCTTGCTTAAAGCAAGTCAAGCTAAAGGGGGCAAAAGGCAAAGTGTGATTTTCATCCTAAAGTTTGTTAACTAATCTACAAACATGTGCGTGAGTATCATTTGTGTGTAAATGTTTAAATGTGTTAGTGTGAGTACATTGGTATGTACGTGTGTGTGTGTGTATGCCTATATGTGAGTGTAACGTATGCTAGTATGTATAACTTTTTATTATGACTTTATTCTGTGAAGTTAAAAAAATGAAATACATTAAAAAATGAAATACTGATGCCTGCTCTCAAAAGAAAAATACAGTATATACATATCCATAACATGCACACGTACATATATATGCTATACACATACACACATATATGTATATACATATATATTACATATGTATATTAATCAGTCCATTTTAAATACCTACAGAAAAATATCCTGAATATATTACAAATATGTATATAGTACATGTATATTATATGTACCTGGTACGTGATAAACATGTTTATATATACATAAATATGCAAACGTGTGCATGTACGTGTATGTCTATATATGTATGAGGGTGCATAATATATGAGTGGGAGTGCACGTGTCTATATCTATGTGTAATTTTATATATAAATCCATATATGGTATCGATGTGTGCGTGTCATTGTGTCTAAAAACAGGCATATGCGTGTCACTAATAATATCTGTGCGCGCCCGCGCCCCCCTCACAGGCGCGCGCACCATCCGCACGCCCGAGGCCGCCTTCCCCTTCATGGCTCGGCTTCCTTTTCCCGCCCAGCTCCGCCTCGGGATGGGGCGGGGTCGGGGGGGGGGGTGAGCGCGCCCGCGCGCCCTCCCTTTCTCTTCCCGTCCTCTCTTAGCGCGCCCCACGCGCCCCGGCACGCGCACGCGCACGCGCGGACTCGTCTTCCCGCTAAATCTCGCATCGCTTCCCTCAGTTGGAGTCTTACGGCTTCTTTTCTTTGAGCTCCGTTATTTTTTCCCCCCTTTATTTCCCCCCCCTCCATTCCTCAACGGTAGATTAACAGCAAAACAAAAAAACGAAGTTACCGGGAATGGTGACATCCAGACCCCCTTTTTTTCAGCCCGCTGTACTTTTTCTTATCATTCTTATTGTTATTCTCTGAAGCTGCCCCATTTCTGGAAAGGCTCAGGCTGAGGGGAAATTAGCTTAAACAAATCCTCGAAACAGACCCCACCAAGCAGCTATCTG